TCCTGACTCTCTGTCAATGTGACCGTGCGAGAAAGTAAAATCCCACACGGCGCGTTGCTCGCCTTGCTGATAACCGGTGGTACATAACGAGAAACTAAACGAAAATAAGGACGGCTTTTGAAGGCGAGGGGCGGGGAGGGGGGAGGGGAGGAAGCAAATGGACCGAACAGGAGGTAAGTACTAATCACATGTAAGCAACTCAAGATCAAAGTACCGTTGCACCCAGTGTATAGGCATAGGCGGACCCAGCGGTAGGAGGAGAGGGGGAGGGGTGGGTCGAAGGTCCAATGGAACAGGCAACAGTGCTGCAAAAGTCTGGGTCTAAAGCTAAAACTAAAGCCTAAAGTAACTCCAAGGAGCAACATGTTACAACTCCATTCCTAGTTTTTGCATAGTTCCAGGATGGGGGAGGGGACTCTTCCCCCACCACCCGTGCCCCTCCCCCCCTCTTGCCCCAGGAATCCATCTTGCATTCGCCTATATAGGAGCATTCCAGTAACGTCAGTGACCTTGAGAGTATGCGAATAGGTAGTTGCAGCCGAGGTGTTTTTAGCCAACAGACAATAGTAGTAGTTCTATCCCGTGGAATGGCCTGTTGGGAGGTCAAGGAAACTGCATTTAGGCCTAATTCCGTGCGGCGAAAAATTTCCAGTGGTTTTCAGTGTAAAACTGCGGTCAGATCTAATCCACCCAAAATCGATTGATTAACGAAGTGTGATACAGGCAACGATTGCCACTGATACACTATCAATGAAGATGCGGGCAGCAGGGCGCCCTCAGCAGCCGCAGCACCACCCACTCTCCCTGAGAACGTTACGGAAATCTCATCGTTTTGAATGGTAATTACTAAAAATCGGCTCAATTCGGCTGGACTAGGGCGGGGTGGGGGGAGGGGGAGGGATGGTTTTGGTATCGAGCGGCGGGATAGGGATTGGAAGCAGGAAAGACCGGAAATGGCGGTTTAGATTGCAAGTATAGCAACGGCGGGAAGGGGTCCAACATATTGACTGGAAAGGAGCTGAGTTCAAAAAAGGTAGAGATTATGAAAG